AGGAAGTGCAAATATTACACTTTTTACTGCACGTTGTAAAAAATATAAACAGATAAAAATAAAATATATTTTTTTAAATGGCAGCAATGTGCAAGGAAATAGACGTTAAAATAATAATAACAAAAAATATATAATAAAATAAAAAATACTGTAACGTAAAAAAAAAACAAAGATAACTGCAAACATCTGTAAAATAATTACATTTATTTGCTGACTTAAATATTGTCAAGATAAAGTTTAATTTGATGGTCAAACATAAAATAAATAAATAAATTTGGGCCTATTTTTCACCGTTAACGTGTAAATTATTACTGGCTGTGATTTTACTATGTTTTATTTAGAATTTCACAAAAAAAACTGAAAATCAGTAATTAAAAAAACAAACTGTAAATTGTGTGATAAAAAAAACTACTGTTGAAAACATCTGGTTAAAAAAAAAAACACTTTCTGTTTTACAGTGCACTGTGTTTGTTTGATTATTGAACTTAAGTTCGTAGGTTGGTGCATCTTGTATGTTCAGAATAATCATTAAGAGTCAAATTATTGCTCAAATAAAGTCTTTTTTGTTTGTTTGTTTGTTTTGTTTACAGCACATTAAAACAGTTGTTTTAAAAAATTCTTTCCAGTAAATAAACTGAATATAACTAACCTTTAAAATCAACCCAAAAAGCCTGAATACTGAGACGAGGACTCTACTAGAGTGTAAAACTGAAGTGATATAAACATACATTAAGCCTGAGACCCTCCAGTGATACCAATTAAGGGGATTAACTCGATTAACTCGTTAAGTATTACGGCTAACTATTAATTTCAAAACAAAGCATAAACAGCACGACTCCATGTTTCTTCTCTTTAAACCACAAACACAAAATGAATCACAGACTTCAGATATCAGGCCGCTGCGATCTTCATCCAGTAAAATGACGCCTAATTGGCACTTTGCTCCTATTTAGCCGCATCGAAACCGACAAGAGCATCAGTCGTGTCATTAGAAGATCTGATTATGCTCCCTAACAGAAGCTCTGGCCATAGCAACGCCTGCAGAGACTCTACAGCAGGAAGGAACAGCTGGAGGAGGAGGAAGAGGAGGAGGAGGAGGAGGAAGCTCAAACCTTCTGAGGAGGTCTCCTGAACATCTGCATCCATCTCAGGGTCTCCAGTCATGGAGCTCCAGTTTTCATGAAGTGGAGGGAAGCTCAGGGCATTGATTGGACGTTCTGATGGAGCTGCAAGGTCGGAATAACCCAACAAAGTTTTCGAGGCGACGTAAACCCGAGAGATGACTTCAGGAGGAACTGTCTTCTCCGAGACCTTCCTGGATGGTGTTGAGTCTTGGTTGGGAGTTTTAGCTTCCATCATGGAGCCAAAGACCTCAACGTTCAGCTGCTTTACCCCGACAGCATCACATTTAGACTCCTCCTGGGCGTCTCTGGTCACCACATCAGCAGCTATCACCTCCTCAAGAACATCTCCTTCATTTTTCTCCTCCTTTTCAGGGTCGGTTTGAAGGTCCACCACCACATTTGCACCAGATTCAACCTGAGGAACCACCTTTCTGGAGATATTTAGGGTTCTTTCATCAAGAACCAGCTCGTCTGTCGGCTCTTTGGTTGCAACCTTCTGCACCTTGACTTTAGGAGGCATCTCTTCAGGGTTCAGGGAGGAAGAGAGATGTTGTTTTCTTGGCCTTCTTGACTGAGTGAAGACAAGAAGCTCCAAAACTGCTACCGTGAACTTCTTCGGCCCAAAGTTCTTCCTTGTGTCTCCTGAAATCCATCAAGTTTTGAACCCTAGTTTGACCAAAGCTTCTTGGACGTCCGTCAGGTTCTTCTCTCCTGTGGCAGTAAACATGCCTGTCCGAATGTCCTTCTTGGTTTCTTCTTTCAGTTTGGGGTTTTGAGAAGTAAGGTTTGAGGGTTTTTCCTGAAGATGCATTCGTGCGTTGAAGCGTCGCGGGTACGATCTCCGGCGGCAGGTGCAGGTGATCTCTAAGGTGTACGATTCCTTCATCGGTGAGGTAATAATAGGCGTGCTTCCAAACAAAAGTCTCCCTGACGTAGCCTCTAGATTTGAGGGAGGCCATCGCGCGGAGCACCTTCAGGTTGGTCACGCCGTCGATGTCACGATGCATCGACTGCGGCCGCTTGTCCTTCTTCACCACGACGACGCCGTCCTTAAACAGAAGCTCATAGACGGCCCTCAGGTCGGCTGACGGCATCACCATCCCAGCCACCATGTTGGCTCACTTCTCCACCACCTCTCACAAACTAAACCTGCAAAAATCCCTCCTTCTACGTCACTTCTTTGCTTCGCCGGTTGGAAGCGTTTTGCATCCGGTTGCCACCATGAGTCAGCATCAGGAGCAGCGACGCTCAGAACCCCTCCTACCTCCTCGGTCCAACGACGAACAGTGTGGACGGACGGCGAGAGGGAGGAGAGGAGGAGGATGTGAAGGACAGAGAACAGAAACCAAAAGCATCAAAAGAAGCTCAGTGGAGGAGATCTGGAGCCTGAAGGCAAAGCTGCTGAAAACAGAACCAGCATCACGGTGGTCGGACTGAAACAGAACAACGGTGCAACAACAAATCAACAAGTCTGACGGGAAGAATGCTGGAGGGTCCAAAAGTTACCGACACAAAAAGCACTGATTCTCTTTTATAATAAGTAAATATAACGGTAAGAATAAACGCACTTCTTGTTTTAATCCTTCAATATTTATGTAGTTTATCTGTGAACAAATCAGACACCTGAAAATCTCATAAACGTCTCTGTGCACTATAAAAACTGTGCTTTTCTTAAACTGTAGTTTATCTAAAAATGTTCGTTTATTTACCATTTTATTTTACAGATTATTCCTGTTTTGCCAAATTACAAATAATATGTAGTAAAATTACAGATAAAAGGAAATAATTTACGTTAATTGTCAAAAACAGACTAAAGCTGTACAGATTTCTTTTTTTAAAAAACAAATGATAATTTGTTCTTTTGTATTTGACCTCAAAATAACACTTTATTTTATTTAGCTGAAATAAATAAACTTTTCATTATTTTAAATAAGTAAATAAATAAATAAGATCATAGATTTAAAAAAAAATTAAAAAATGTTGTAAAAGTTTATGGATAAAATGCAGAATAAAAAAAATTTAACTGAAAAAAGTATTATTTTACATGTTAACTGTTAAGAAACAAAACAAAACAGAAAACATGAAAAGAAAAAACAACAAGAACACACAAAAAAGTATATTAAAAATATCTAATATCTCTTATGTTTGACCATAAAATTACACTATTTTTCTACAGTATTCAAGCCAACAAAAATAAAAACTATTTTCCAGGTATTTGCTGTATATTAAAGATTGAAAAAAAAAAAAACCCTTAGATTTAGTAGATTTCTCTTGTTTTGGTAAATTACAGATAAAATCCAGTAAAATCACAGATTAAAAAAATATACAAATTTACATGTTAGATGTATAAAACGGTGCATAACATCCATGTGATTTGTTATTTTATATATTATTATTTTACAGAGTAATTTAGTCTTTTGCAATGTTTGACTACAAATTTACAGCTTTACTGTATTTAATCCATTAAAAACAGACATTTTCACTATTTTTACAACACAGTATTTCATTATTTTGTGTTTTTATTTTTTTAATAATGTCTTCAACGTTTTTGCACATAATAAAAGATTACCTCTTCTTATCATTTCATGTCATAAATATAATATTATACACCTTTTTTCTTAACTGTAAGCATTAATGGTTTTTCACAGTTCCAAGTTGTTGTTTTTTTTATGATATTTCACATTAGACATAAATTTAGTCTATTTTTGTAGTTTAAACATTTTTTAGAAGTTTTTCCAAACAATGCGTCTTCCAAAAGCACAAGGAAAGAAACTGTAAAATAAAAAAAACTCTTTAAAATTACATTTACATTCGTTTCTAAAGACAAGAGCTCCCTGTTTGTACCACGGCGTTGTGAGAATATTCATCAGAGCACATCTCAGCTGAAGGTTACAGTAGAACAGGTCAGTTTTTCCAGAACTCCTCGTCGGTTATTTGGACTGAAGCTAAATGTCAAACACTGCGAGGACGGAGTCTATAATCTGCGCTGCGCCTGCTTTCCCCTCAACACTCGTAGCCCACATCCAGCAGCAGCCAACTGGGCAGCAACACACGGAAAAGTCATTTCTTTCCCCATCAGAGGAGACAACTGCTCCTGTGTTCGACTGACACCGGAAAGAAGCTGGGCGTCCAGCGGCAGGGTTAAAAATACAAGCAGGAGGCCTGGAAAATGTTTGCAGGAGACGCTGAGCTTTTTCCCCACTTTAAGAAAAAAGAAGAAGTCGTCTCTGACAGCACTGAACACAGCGCCCCCTGCAGGCGAGTGACGGAGCTCCGTGGTGGAACATCTGGCGTCTCTTTGTCACCGTTCAATCACGTTATAATCTCCTCAATAAAAATCACCTTCTGCCTGTTTATGTGTCAACATGTTTGTCAAGAAGATGAACAGAACCAGATCCCAGCTCGACTGAGACAGACGGCAGCAGAAGACGCTCAGTCAGGACTCTGGAGCACATCTGGATCCACCAACGGGCTGTTTTCTAACTTGTAAGTCACTTTAGGGCCTTGAACCGCTGTACATGTTCCAACTGCAGGAACCGACCCGGCAGAACCTCCTTCAGTTCTGTGTTAAGGAGCTACTGTGTGGAGCTGAACAAGGACAACGTGACCCAGGTTTCTACCTCCACAAAATAAAAAATAAAGTCCTGCATCTCTGTGGAGATTATTTTACAAAAACTGAAAAAAAACCAAAAAAAACAACAATAATAATAATTATAATAAATTACATAAACGAATTGTTACTAATTATAAATAAATAAAATAAATTATGATTAACAATAAAGCAATCATAATTATAAAAATAATAATAATATCAAAGTGCTTTTCAAGACACGTAAAGATGGTTTACAAAGTAGGTAAGAATTCAATTTGAAAAAAAAAAAAGATTTACGATTTTTTTTTTTTTTTTGAAGAACCAGTGGCTCCCATTCACATCACAGATATATTATTGTTCACATTTATGTTTCCATAAACTTGTTTCATGTGCTGCTAGTGCATCAACACTGCCTGCAGGTCAGCCCAAAAGTCTTTATCATGTGATTGTTGGTCACAGCTGAGTTTGCAAATGGTTTATTTTTGGTCGATTTGAATAAAAACTTTAATGAAACATCAGGATTTTGAGCTTCCGTTTGGTTTTCTGATGGAGCGGCGCATCACACACGAGTAGTTCAAAGACAAGGGAAGGTCAAATCTGACTATTCTTTTTGTTTTTCTTACAGTTTCTGGCTCCAAAAAATGGTGTAATTGATCATGTTATATAAGTTCAGATGCCTAACGGAGCTGATTTTGGGGTTTGGAGGGTTAATAAAAAATCAACTTTGGCCCGTTTGTTTGTCAATATGATAAACGCGAAGGCAATTCTCATTCCGCTGAGAGCGACGTTTCACAACTCTCTGAAATTAAAGCTGAGAGATGTGTGGCAAGAACCCACTGGAGCACATCTGGGCCGGGTTTGATCCGCCAACAGACCCATTCTGCCCAAGTTTGTGCAAAGAGCTGCTTCTGTTGAGCCTCTTTCGACCACATGGGCCACTTTCCGACCCTCTCAGTCCTCCAGCGTCGCCCTCAACAGGTGGAACTGGCTTTATTTTCAGTAATCTGCTATCTGTTGAATCAGAAAGCTAGAAGTTCTTGGAAAAGTCTGAGAATTCCTGCAGAGCGAAGCCGCGTTCCAGTTCCTACAGGTCACCAGGGTTATCAACACTTTCAAACCAACTCCACCTGAACTCAAACACATCTTTTCGTCGCCTCTTTCTCCGACTGACACCTTGTTTGACTCCGTGAGCTCTGCAGATGGAGACAACCGCGCCCTCCTGCAACCTTAAAACAATCACAGCAGACCAGATCAAACCGGGTCAAACGAGATGTGCTGCCAGCCCGTCGGAACGTCAGGAATGATTTACCGACGCAGATATCAGCGAGAACGAATCGTAAACAACCCCCGGATCTGCTGCTTTCTGTTAGCGGAGGTACATTCGGTAGAAGAAAACAGATTTGTGAGGAATTTGTGAGGAAAACCTCTGAGGCCTGATGCCGGCTTGGTTCTCTGGACGTTATCTCCATGTGGACTCCATTAGCTGTCCCGTGGATCCGAATCAAACGAAAGAGGAATGAAAGCGTCTGTACCTGCGTCAAACCGCCCACGGCCTCAGATTTAACCAGAACCTTCCTCATAACACCAAACATCGAGCGTAACGTGATGGAAAGTGTAGAAGTAGGCCTCGCCGTGCTCAGCCTGACAGGATGAGGACGACTGGAGGTGACAGCTTTAACATCAACTCCTCTGGCAGACATGAAGCTCTCTCCGTTCCATATTTTACAGCCAGTAATTGAAGCTGCATGTCGTCGACTGCATTCTGGCGTTTGGGAAAATAAGAAAGGAGGAGAACTCAAGTTTTACCGCGGCGCTCATTAAAGAACTTAATGTGAACTCCTGAAGAAATGTCAGCGTTGATGTTGTCACTCCACAGAGTTCTCCTTGTGTTCCAGCTGCATCTGAACACCTCACGTCCAATGAATGTTAAATACTTTACATTTCCCCCCACTGATGATTTACGATGTGAGAGACAAAAAAATTAAATAAATAAATAAGCACTGGCCAATTAGGAGATTTTGTAAAAAAACAAACAAACAAAAACAACAAAAAAAACCCCAACAAAAATAAATAAAACTGAGTATTTTAAACAGTTGAACAGTATTTTTATTTTTTTTTTAAATAATTTACTGTTATTTACATAATTTTTTGTTAAATGCCATAAAATAAAACTTGTGTAATTTTAAGGTCTATATAAAGTAAAAACAAGTATTTTTAAAAGCTATTGCAAAATATTATATTATTTTATTATTTATAAAAACAGATTTTCGACATAATTGTTGGTAATTTTTTTTTTTTTTTAGGGTTAATATGTAGAATAATGATTTTATTTAACTTTTTGGGTAAATTTACAAGACAATGATAAAATAGTGTAATTTTATGGTCAGAAAAACAGAAAAAAAACTAATTAAGTATTTGTAAAAATACAGATTTTTAAGAGGCCATTATTTACAGTTGTGTTTATTTTACTGTTAACATGTAATTTATGAATCTTTTAGTTGGATTTCACTGTTTGTTATCTGCATTTTAGTAAAACAGGGAAAATCTGCAAAGTAACAGCGAATTGTTTTTAAAAAATACAGTTTAAATGTACATTTTTTTTTTACAGTGTATAGCATGAATGCTGCTCAGTGTGAAGGCAGCGGTGGTCTGAATCATCCCTGATCTAAAGTTACTGAAGCTGAGGCCAGATCAGAGCGTGGTGTGATTAAGAGGAACCTCCATGTGGCAGCTGGAGGCGGAAACACGAGAGTTTCTGAGCGTTTCACTGACAGTGAGTCACCGACATGAAAACCCGTGATGGGGAGCGGCCGGGCAGGAATGCTGTCGCCACGGCAACGGGAGGACACACCACAGAAATATGAGTGAGTCCAGAGCGG